AATATCAAAGTGGACATGGCCTGAAGATTGCTTTGAAGCACGAAATTGACTGTTGAGGCTTGCTGTTGGCCTCAGTGTTAACTTTTATATTTTTATTCGCATACACTATCTCTGATATTGAAAAATATTACTCATAAATATAGCATACCATAAAATTATATATATATATATATATATATATATATATATATATATATATATATATATATATATATATATCCTACTCAAGCAATTGCGTGGTGAGAAACAAAAACCACCAGTCTACAAATTTCCAGAGAGACCATTGAAAGTAGAAGATAAACCCCTGTACTATGTAAAGTTTTTCACCTTGGTAGCAAAGTCAATTACAGTGGAACTTTAGATGATGAAATCATGTATCGGATTGCTAAGGCTACCAGTGATTTCAGTGATTGTGGAATGAGTTGGGTATTCGACTGGATACGAAAATTCGGGTCTACAGAGCTGTTGTACTTGCAATCCTTTTGTATGGCTCAGAGTCGTGGACTCCATACAGGTACCATATACGCCATCTAGATGTTTGCCATAAAAACTGTCTGCGTGAAATCTATGGAGTTAAGCTTCAAGATAGGACATCTAACGTAGACCTGTTTAACAGGTGTAATATTGGAGGAATCGATACTTTTATCATACAGTCGTGAGACTGTATGATAAAAGTATCGATTCCTCCAATATTACGGTGGACTGGTCATGTCTTCAGAATGTCTGATGACAGGATACCCAAGATCCTAATGTACAGCCAGTTAGATCCGGGCTACAGGAATGTAGGAGGCCCATGGCTAAGATACAAAGAGAAGCTGAAAAGCAACATGTCAGCAGTCAATATACCACATAACACCCTTAGGCGCTTAGCCTTCAGCGGGTAGAATGGAGATCAACGTGTTTTAGTGGACTCAGCAATTTTCAATCTGCTTGTCTGAATCATCTTCAAGAAGCTAGAGCAAGATCTAAAAAGTCAGCCAATCTAACAGTTATCTCATCTCACAATCCTCACACTTGCTCCATATGTGGCCTACTTTATAAATCACTAGCGGGCCACTTAAGATTATCGCACAAAATTTCATAACTGAATCAATAAGCTGTCAGATCCTCATACGTCGAAACCGACGGGAGTCCATTATATTACACACACACACACACACACACACACACACACACACATATATATATATATATATATATATATATATATATATATATATATATATATATATATATATATGCATGTATATATAAAGCGGGCATTGATATCAACACCCAGAGACAACAGTCTGTTTTATGCTAACGATTACACTCAGCATGCCACCACATTAACTTTGCGGTTCTCATTTGACAAGACAGAGCATATATATACAATGGGTGTTTGTTAATTAGATTTACAAATTTGTATCACAATTTGGTACGGAATAATTTGGTGAAGGGAGGTATATACCAAATTAGTTTCCTTTTTCCATTTTTCGTTCTAGAGTAACTATAATTTTCCATATATTCAATTTCTCATGGAATGAGAACCCCAAGGATATTAATTTGTATGGGCGATTCACTAGAAGACCTTTTAAGGATCGTTATTACAATCGCATATCCTCTTTTACTAATATAAGCAAACTCAATATGACATCACTTTCAAAATACTTTTAGAAGCTGAAAGAGGAAAGCAAAACACCTAAGGTTAAATGGAAAATCATAAAACAAGGCAGAACTTGCAATTCTCAGAACGAATCTTGTTTTTTTATGTTTTCAGGAAAAATATGCATTATTAAACTTTTGAACACCAGCCAATTATTAAATCAAAAATTTGAAACCACTGTTTTTTGTAGGCATATTAAGGATCTAACATTAAAATCTTGCTAAACTTTGAAATCCATAACCCTAAGCGTTTAAAATTATAACTCACCTCCTTTGATATACTTCTACACTCTTATATAACTTTCTACTAATCTATCTTAGATTAGGATTCTTAAAACGTTTTTACACATATGTAATACTAGGAATAGTATCAGATAAATTGATTTACATCCATTACTTATTCTACAATTTATACAGTCCGACAATAATCTAAAATTTGCTTATAAAAGTTATATTAATATCCCATACTTTTTTATATACCTTTCTACTTATATTTTAAATTACGACCTAAAACTTATTGTAAAAAAACAAAAAAGCAAATAACTTCATATCAAGAAAATATCTCGACCTCTTAATTTATTAATTTACAAAATACATTCATTGATTACAAAACGAGTAGCAATAATTCCAGCCTAAATATACGCAATTCAGCTCTGGCTTTGATTTAATGTTGCCAGAAACATTTCCAATTACTTCTATAACCATCACATAAAATTATACCCCCTATCCTCCTTCAATGTCTTAATCTCTCCTATTCCCAATTTTCCTCCCCCTACCCCTCACTTTTGGGAGGCTTGGAAATGCTGCAATTAAACATTTGACCGCTGCTGTCGATTTAAATTTTTCGGGTCGAGCCATCTCCTTAAAACCTCAAGAATCCTTCACCAAACTGGAATCGAAAAGCACTATTGTTTCACTCTGTCACCCTTTTGCCGTTTCCTATCTTTTCTTTACCCTTATACATCA